GACCAAAGCTTGCTTGTATGAGCTAGGAAATGTGCCTGACGTCAGCGCGGCATTGATCACATGTGTGACTGCTGCAGTAACTGTAGGAGCTATGGACTGGAGTTAGTTTGTAGGAACTGGGTCCAGCAGGCATGTAGTAGGACGGCTACATGTGAGAAGTTTGGACAGATTGCTCTCAGTGAGAGAGGACTTCTGCTTGTATATGTACTGTGAGAAGTTTAAGGTGCAGGCCGTTCAGTAAACTGTTTGCTTAAAGCTGCCACTTTGTCAGTAAAAAATGAGGCGAACGTGTCTGCCGTTAAGCTAGTAGCAGGAGGCGGAGGAGGAGGTTTAAGCAGAGCTTTGAAGATGGAGAATCCTTTTCGAGTGTCAGTTGTACTGTGAATCTTATCAGTATAGAAAGTATTTTTTGCATCAGTGATGCTTAAAGAGAATGCAGACAGCAGTGCCTGAAATTTTGTTAGATCATCTGGATTTTTTTATTTGTGCCATTTAATCCACCTCACAGCAACAGATGGTTGCATTCCCCCACAGACCCAGATAATAGTGTTTAATTTGATCCAGATCAGGAGTATTTTTTTCTATTTGTGTGCACTCAATTGAATGCTATTTTCAAACTCAATCTTTTGTTTTAGCTCAGGTCATTTAACTTCCCACTTATTAGTTGATAAGTTTGAGTGAAAATACCAACAGTTTCTGGTTAAATTTAAACTTTTTTTTCACTGCTGCCTTGAGTGAACTCATTCACATTTTGTCATTATGAAATTATTATAATTTAATCGAAAAAAAATTATAAAACGCTTCCAATTCTACATGGGAAGCAGCAACAAAACCCACAAACCTGTAAATGCCGAGCATTGTTTTGCTGTATTGTGTTTCTCTGTTTTGATGATAATTTCAGTTAGAATCAGTATTAAATCAGTAGGACTTTTTTTTTTGTACACATATCAGGTGAACACATTCAGGCACTGGTTTGTTTTTTTCTATTTTTTAAAGTCCCTGTTTTTTTAATGCTCCATATTAATTTATTATCAGATCATTTGTTTCTGAAGCTTGATGGAGGCCGAACTGAATGTTACGTTTATAACTCTTGATGGATTTGTGCAGCTGCATAAATTCAGGTATCTATATTTTGTCATCCTGTTTCCAGCTTACATCCTGATACTCTGCTATAATTTCATTATAGTGTTCCTGGTTGTGTTTAAGAAAAGCCTCCGTGAGCCCATGTACATTTTCAATGCAGCTTTGTTACTGAACTGTAACTTTTATGGTTACTGAACTCTCTTTACAGCACGGCATCTCTTCCAAAGCCTTTGATCAACCTCTTATCTGAAAGGCAGATCATATCTTCATAAGCTTGTTTCTTTCAGTTTCAATTTTTATGCTTTTGGCATTTTGGAGCTTATACTGCCGACATTTATGTGCCATGACAGATATGAAAACATGCCTATTTACATTATTTAATAAAAGGGGATTGGCTTGCAAAAGTGATTGAATATACACTGAAATTGTTTCTCAGTAGCTGTACACTGTGATGGTTATTTGTCTTTGTCATTTGCAGTAAAAATAAATTTTTTCAATTTTTATTATTTTGGCATTTCAGAGCTTATACTGCCAACAGGGGAAAAGGAACCCCAAAAAAATGCTAAACAAGGGAAACCCAGTGAAAGGAACCAAAAACCAATGGATCCACAACACACAGCAGGCAAAGGCCCGGCACTTTCAGCTGTCTTTGCTTTCTTCCACTTCCTTCATGGGCATTGTAATTTTGTCGGCTACATTTAAAAAAAATCTTATTTATTCCCTGGGGAAATTTCCAGGGTGGTGTTGCCAGGTTTTTTAATTTAATCCACCTCACAGCAACACATGGTCGCCGTCTGCCACAGACCCAGATAATATTGTTTAATTGGATCCAGATCAGGAGTATTTTTTTCGATATATGAGCCCTCATTTGAATGCTATTTTACAACTAAATCTCAGGCCGTCATCAGTTCAGAAAAATAGACTAATAGTTGTGGTTGTAGTGTATGAGGTTGAATGGGTTAAAATAATTGCTTTAAGATGGAAGAAAACTGACTGGAGATTACAGCAAATGCATAAACAACTGGCTTTATTGTCATTGGTCGGTTTTGAAACAGGTTCTCGATGACTCATTTTGGCATTCAGCAACTGTCAAACTAAAAAAAGCCATGCCCATATATTTCTGAGTCCTCTGTGTTCGCGGAGTGACCAAGACCATGGAGGATGAAGTAGTTTTATAAGAACAGTCCACAAAGCTGAAACCACTCACTGTGAATTACCAACGATGTGGTGAGTGTTCAAAGGTGGTTCATAGTTTGACTTTGCTGTCTTTTCTCCGATTTACTCAGTGTTTTTTTTCATATTTACTTATCTTGATGGAGGCTGGACTGAATGTTACTTTTATAACTCTTGATGGATTTGTGCAGCTGCATGAATTCAGGTATCTGTATTTTGTCATCCTGTTTCCAGTTTACATCTTGATACTCTGCTGTAATTTCACTATTGTGTTCCTGGTTGTGTTTAGGAAAAGCCTCCATGAGCCCATGTACATTTTTATTGCAGCTTTGTTACTGAACTCTTCTCTTTTCAGCACGGTTGTCTTCCCAAA